TGTGTGTGTGTGTGTGTGTAAAATATTAAGAAATATTAAATATAAAACATTATATATATATACACACACACACAAACACTGATATTTCTGTCAGGCTGCTTAATCAATTTGGCTATTCTGAAATGATCAGCATTGAAAAATTAGATAATGAAATTAATTTAGATAATGTTTTTAATATATATATACATAATATACATACAATTATTTAATTAACAATATTATTTTAATCATTTGTATTATATATATATATATAAACAATTAAAATATTGTTAAATATTAGATATACTATTTGTATTTATTATTGTAATTTATAAATTGTATTCTATAAATTATAATATATTGTTATATTATTAATTGCATATATTATGTAATAATATGCATATATTATTTATTTGTGTCAATGCTTCTCAATCATTTATGAATAAGCAAATTGATTAATCAGTCTGACATACATTGGTCAAATCTCTTTCTATTGGTCTAATCCCAATATGACCAAATATTGGTAGATATATTGATATACTGCAAACCAAAAATTACAGCAGACAGTGAATGAATCAATAATAATAACAACAACAACAATAATAAAAAGTTTTGATATTAGTCTGTGCAAGTTCTTGAGACTATAAATAAATAATGCAAAATTAATCACTTTTATAAAAGAGAAATAATGCTGGGGGATTTTAAATCCACTTTGATAAAGAAAAGTCCCTTTAAAAAAAAAGAAAGAAATATTCAGTTTCGCAGTGGGTGGGGCTTTACCTGAGACATGCCTCCTGCAGTTTGATTGGCTGTCGGCAGCTCAGGTACAGAAGACAGGCGTCAATCACCCGATCCAGATCCGCCTCCACTGCAAACACACATTCAGAATAAAGACTCAATTATTTATAAATTGTTCGTAGAATTCTAAAATGTTCATTTGTTCTACTTTTAAATGTATATACATGCATGTTTTTGTTGCATATATATCTGTTCTAGATTCAATGTAAACACTATGCTCTGGCAATAGATTGTAACAATTGTCATGCCAATAAAGCACGAATTGAATTGAATTGAATAAAGACTCGTCCTAAAACATACAAATCAGCTTCAGGAAAATCAGCTGTGTAAAGCAAATGTTTTACGTGATCAAATACTATTTGAGACAATTACACTATTATAGATTTGTCCCAATTCTCTATTCCCACAAACCTTAATGCGTTCTCCAGTGAATTCGCTGAAATTCACAGCAGAAATGCAAACAGTGAACGCCTGCGTCATAATGGCCACAGATGTTCTAATATATTCTAATAGTCTCCATGGCTGCATTATCCTAATTAATTAATTAAGCAGCCTGATGTAGAGCCTCATTACTCTAGATAAATGGAGGTGAATGCAGAGGGACGGCGAGACCAGACACAGAGAGAAATGAAGGATGGATGGAGAATAATAAAGAGGGAAAATGATGTGTGAGAGAGAGAGAGAGAGCACTAGAGCCAGCTGGGAAATAAACAGCATGACCTCTCATGTCTGTCTGTCTCTCATAACCATGGAAACTCTATCAGTATTTCCCTCCTTTCACAAATGTTTTTCTCTGGATGAATCTTCTCCACATGGCGGCTCAATCAAACGACAAATCACTTCAGCATTTCACAAACCGCTGGCTTCAAATTTCTCATGGTTTGGTTTGTAACACGGTGTTCCCAGACGTCGCTAGACTTGAGGCTAATACAGAAAGTGATATTTTATCGGTCAATAGTCAATCATATTTGCATGCATTAAGCTTGAATGCATGAGCCAAACTGCAGCATGTGAGGTTTTTCCGTTTCACTCCTTACAAAGTGTCTGGATTACATCAGAAAACCCACTGAGGGTGAGGAAAAACGAAAACAGCCGATACGCAAGAGACCTTCGGAGCTCCTCCAGAGGAATGAACAGAGCAGCTCAGGACGGTGTGTGTTCAGATCATAGTTCAGATGGAGCCGTGGTGATGATGATGATGTGTGACGGTGAGATTGACGCTGACGAGTTTGCTGCAGCTGTGATGCCAGTCTGCCATCTAGTGATCACATGCTCACAACTCTCAGACCATACAAAATGTACATGTCAATGTCTGATATTGTTGTGCACGATTTATCATGTTATTCTAAAAGGGTAAAAAAAATTAATCTCTGATCTTCCATTAAAATGTGTTTTCTCAATGACAAAATAATATGATTAAAGAATATTAAAAATGTGTCTGGATTACATCAGAAAACCCACTGAGGGTGAGGAAAAACGAAAACAGCCGACACGAAAGAGACCTTCGGAGCTCCTCCAGAGGAATGAACAGAGCAGCTCAGGACGGTGTGTGTTCAGATCATAGTTCAGATGGAGCCGTGGTGATGATGATGATGTGTTACGGTGAGATTGACGCTGACGAGTTTGCTGCAGCTGTGATGCCAGTCTGCCATCTAGTGATCACATGCTCACAACTCTCAGACCATACAAAATGTACATTTCAATGTCTGATATTGTTGTGCACGATTTATCATGTTATTCTAAAAGGGTAAAAAAAATTCATCTTTGATCTTCCATTAAAATGTGTTTTCTCAATGACAAAATAATATGATTAAAGAATATTAAAAATTTCAAGAAACATTTCTGATTATTATCAGTGTTGAAAACAGTTGTGCTATTTCATATTTTTGTGGAAACGGTGATACATTTGAATTTTTTCTATGAATAGAAAGTTCAATACAGCATTTATTATAAAATAGAAATGACATCACAGTCGACGCAGTAATAGCAAACTACTTTCAGACTCGTTCAATAATGAATCCTTCAGAAGAATTTGTGTTTTGTCCAATTCATTGAAAAGATTTGATTTAAATGAATGATTCACTCACAATTCACTATAGCTTGACTGTAGCTAGCAAGCTTCGCTTTACTGAAAGACAGTATCTAGCCAATTAAAAATGAATTAAATGATAATTTAATATCATGAATTAAATGATTTTCTAATGCAAATCATTAAACTTCAATATTGTGTTTATGCTATAGAAATGTCCATGACGTAGAATGCAGGGCTCCATTCTGGGTCCTCTTCTGTTTGCATTATATATGCTTCCACTTGGTCATATTATTCAGAGACACAATTTATCATACCACTTTTATGCCGATGACACTCAGCTCTACTTTCCTATCAAAAATAATAATGGGTCTGTGTCTGGCCTGTTTGACTGCTTGTGTGACATAAAATGTTGGATGGACATGAACTTCTTACAGCTAAACAATGACAAAACCGAAATAGTTATCTTCGCCCCACCAGATATGACCTCTGACATAGTTAATCAGTTTGGTTCTCTATCTTCAAATGTTCATGACTGCGTCAAAAATCTTGGTGTCATTTTTTATTCCAATTTGAGTTTCAATAAGCAGATTAGTGCTGTTGTTTTGTTTTATAAATTAATAGACTAAACTTTATTCATTTCCATGTCCTTTAAAATGCTAGGATATTGTGGATGGTCATAGTTGGAAAAGTGTTTTTTTTGTTGTTTTTTTGCGTGTTGGTTTTGCATTTGGTTGCTAGGACATGATCTCACCTTGAATGCTCGTGGTACAGCGAGAGGGTCATCGTTGGTGAGACGGTGGAGGAGAGCAGGCCAGCACCGGTGCACCATGGGAAGCAGCTCGTCCTCTCGCTCACATAAAACGCACACACACAACTCCAAGATGTCCAACACCTGTAAATGCACATGCAGCTTTGACTTTAGACCCTCTCTGTTCAAAGGAAGCACACCTGCAGCTTCCATGTCCTTTAAAATGCTAGGATATTGTGGATGGTCATAGTTGGAAAAGTGTTTTTTTTGTTGTTTTTTTGCGTGTTGGTTTTGCATTTGGTTGCTAGGACATGATCTCACCTTGAATGCTCGTGGTACAGCGAGAGGGTCATCGTTGGTGAGACGGTGGAGGAGAGCAGGCCAGCACCGGTGCACCATGGGAAGCAGCTCGTCCTCTCGCTCACATAAAACGCACACACACAACTCCAAGATGTCCAACACCTGTAAATGCACATGCAGCTTTGACTTTAGACCCTCTCTGTTCAAAGGAAGCACACCTGCAGCGATGCCAAAGCTATTATACATCACTAGAAGAGATTTTACAACCTTAAGTCGGATTCTCAGTTTGGTTAAAGCATGTCAACATATTCTGTTACACCAAATACACAAAATAATGATCTTTAAAAAAGCATCATATGACCCCTTTAAGATAATCTAAAGTGTATCATGAACTGTATTCAAATGTGCTATTTCAGGACACCATGAATATGAACTAAAATGTGCTTTTAACAAACTTTCTCTATATTAAAAAAATTCATTTTGTAGTGCTGTCAAATGATTAATCGCGATTAATCGCATCCAAAATAATTTTTTTTTTTACAAAATATATGTATGTTTTCTGTGTATATTTATTATGTATATATAAATACACACACATGCATGTACTGTATATATTTCAGCAAATTCTTTTTATATATTAAATAAATATATTTATTTATAATATAAATTATATGAATATAAATAGACATGTAAATACATCTAAATATTTTCAAAATATATTACATGTTTGTGTATTTATATATACACAATGCATATACACAGAACACACACATATATCAATCAAACAAAAACGTTTATTTTGGATGCGATTAATCATGATTGTTTGACAGCACTAGTACTTAGTTCTTGTAGTAATTAGTACTTGTAGTACACTTGAACCTATCTTACATACACCAGTGGGTTACTACAAAAGGTATCTAAATACATGTTTAATACAGAGAATATATAATAAAAGAACATTTTAGTTGATATTCATGGTGTTCCAAAATAGCACATTTGAGTACACTTATATGTTTGTAAGATTATCTAGAAGTACTAAAGAATCATTTTTAGTAAGCTTATATTAAGTACAAAATTAGTGCGTGAAAATAGAGCACTTTAAGTACTTTTTTTCCCCTCCTGGCTTAATACTAAAGAAATAGGCATTTAACCAAACATGAATGTAAATTACAAACCTAAATCATTAGGATCTTCCTCCTCTACTTTAATGCCTTCAGCAAGCTCCTTCTGCTTCTTATAGTCCAGGAGAAACTGCCTCAAGTTCACACACTCTTTATTCTGGGTCTCTTTGCTGGGTGTCTTCTGGCGTCCCATAGTAGCGGGAAACCATCTCACTGTGGTAAAACGTAGCAATTTTTCAAACTTAGCACATTTAGAATCTAATACTTAATAGTAACATTGCTCAAAATAATAGTTAAAGGGATAGTTCACCCAAAAATGAAATTCCTGTCATTAATTACTCACCCTCATGTCGTTCCAAACCCGTAAGACCGTCGTTCATCTTCGGGACACAAATTAAGATATGTTTGATGAAATCTGAGAGCTTTCTGACCGTAATGTTACTGAAATGTTCCCAGGCCCAGAAATGCAGTAAGGACATTGCTTTCCAAAAGGTACCAAGACACATCAATATCAAAACTCTCGATAATGGCGGCAGATGTTGCACAGCGGAGACGAATGGTTGAAAAAAGTAGTTGTTTTTATTTGCTTTGCACACAAAAAGTATTCTCGTAGCTTCATAAAATTACAGTTGGACCACTGATGTCACATGGACTAGTTTACCGATGTCTGGGAACATTTTCAGCTGTCTAATGAGGGTCAGAAAGCTCTTGGATTTCATGAAAAACATCTTAATTGTGTTCCGAAGATGAAAGAAGGTCTTACGGGTTTGGAACGACATGAGGGTGAGTAATTAATGACAGAAATTTCATTTTTGGGTGAACTATCCCATTAAGTAAACTAAGGAAAATTAAGACTCACCGAGTGCTTTCATGAGTGAGTGTAGCACACTACAGAACTGTGGCGCTCTCTGGTCATAGCTGAGATCAAGTGCTGTTAACACATCCTGCACCACATCGGCCACTAGAGGCAGCAGACTGGCATCTGAGTGAGTGAACATGACCGCAAGAACTCGCGGAGCATGAGGGTGAATGCTGGGTCTGGCTAGGTTTAGAGAAATGTCATTGAGAAGGTAGTCGGAGTTCTTGATGACAAGCTCCTTAGGTGAACTGTAATCGCAAGCCTTGCAGATGTCGCACATGGCGCTAAAAGCCGCTTGGCTGACAAGAAGCGACTCGTCCCCGGCCTTCTCCAGCACAGGGTATAGCGTCGTCATCAGAAGCAGATGGAAATTGGTGCCTAATGCCAGTGCAAAGCCCCCGATGCCCTCCAACTGGATACAGATTTGCCAGATGTTGCCGTTGAGTTGGTGAAGCGTTGGAGTTTTGGATGCTGGAAGCAACTGCAAACAGTTTCGTTCTGGACTATTGGACACCAAGGAGGTTGTAGACTCAAGTTTCCCTTCCAAGGCTTCGGAGACCGTAGGGAGATGCCAGTTACTCAAACTGATGTACTCCTCGATGATGGACATGACTGAAGATTTCAAGTCTTCTTGATTTGTTCTAGACTGGTTTGTTCCTGAACAATCGATCCTAGAAGTGTCCATTTCTACGCCAATGCCTGCAGCACCGACAATGACCTCGTTGAGGACCAAAGCAGCTTGCTTTCTGTAAACCGAAGACTCCCTGTACAATTCCATGAAGCGGTCAACAAGAAGGTAGAGGTTTCCGTAGTATCCCAACATGCGGCAGATCTTCCTGAGTGCTGAGAATATCTTGTCGTCTGTGAAGTAGAGGAAGTATTTCCGCTGGGATGGGATTTGGTGCAAGTCAGGTCTCAAGTCTGTCGAAGACATCAGAGTTCTCTCCTC